CATTCTGATCTCAGTTTAGGAGTTTTAGCAAACTGATGTGTGGTTGTTGTAAATATGTGCAGGAGGGCACATTAACCCGGCGGTGACATTCGGGCTTTTCTTGGCTCGGAAGGTCTCTCTGCTACGAGCCTTGATGTATATGGTGGCTCAGTGCTTGGGTGCCATATGTGGTTGTGGCTTGGTGAAGGCATTCCAGAAGGCTTACTACGTTAAGTACGGTGGTGGAGCTAACGAGCTCGCCGATGGGTACAGCACCCGCACCGGATTGGCAGCTGAGATCATTGGTACATTCGTCCTCGTTTACACTGTCTTCTCCGCCACAGATCCTAAGAGAAATGCCCGAGATTCACACGTACCTGTAAGTATCACTATCACCATTGCAGCTGTAATTTCGACGCTGACAAAGTTTTCATTGAACCAATTCGACACCAATTAAAAATTTTTGGGATTAAACTGACAAAACAAAAATAATGAAAGCTAAAATGAGGCAAATTGCATACTCAGCTACTTAAAAATTTATTGGTATTAATTAGTTCTCTTCACGTTTGAACTAAAGGTCTTGGCACCACTTCCAATTGGTTTCGCTGTGTTCATGGTTCACTTGGCCACTATCCCGATTACCGGCACAGGTATTAATCCTGCCCGGAGTTTTGGAGCTGCTGTGATCTACGGCAAGGACAAAGCCTGGAATGATCAAGTATGTATATACCAGCTTTATAATATATAGTACTAGAACTCCACTTACAAACAATTCTTTCTCTATGTTCAAATCCATCCAGCAGTACTCATGTAGAATTTGTTTTGATTTTGTATTTTCAGTGGATTTTCTGGGCTGGACCATTCATTGGTGCTGCCATAGCTGCATTCTACCACCAGTTCATTTTGAGGGCAGCAGCAGTTAAAGCTCTAGGGTCTTTCAGAAGCAGCACCTCCTAGTATATATGCATTATGCAAGCAGTGAGAATAATTATCTAGTCCTCTCATACTGTCTTTAAGACAGGAGTTTCGTGCATCACACACGGGATCGTCACTGGTGTTGGAGATATGGAATTTAGATTTGTATGGTCGGGAAAAATTGTATATAAGTTTTAGTGGGGAGGGAGGGTCTGGGTACCAGCAATGTTAGCATAGTGGTCTTGGCACTTGTTTTTAAGTGTGCCCAACTGTTGTCATTTTGTTTTCTCCTAGTCCTATTTTCCCTTTGGTTTGTTTTTTCCTTCTCTGCTTTTCTTTGTTGTGGGCAAGGTGTTTTTGATCTAATAATAACAAACCAGCAAGTGCTTTTCTGTTCCTACTATCCTTGCACACCCATAAGCCTCTCAATGGATTGAATTCCGATCCAAATCCGATTCTGATTATTAAGTAAAACAAAAGAAAATATATGGACTTCAAAGGTTATCAAGCCCATCTAATTGTGCCGTCTCTCTAACTTCCATATAATATAGGGGAGTTGTCTGCAACGGGTTGGATCGGGTCACATTGGCCTGATAAAAAAACACCTGGGCCAAAAATATTTTCTTTTCTTTTTTAATTTTTATTTCAAATTTCATATATAATCATATTTCTTTGAATTTTTTCTGATAGGCCAACTCATGTGCCTTAAACAATTGCCCATTGGGTCCAATGGGCCTCAAATACCACCAATACCAGGCAGTTGGCTCTGGGGCCAGGCCACTAGCAGTGGGCCGCCGTTGTTGTTGTATCAAAATGTAATATGACTGGACTGAAATTGCGTTGATAGAAAACTCTTCAACATGAATGTGTTGAAATTGCGTTGATCAAAAACTCTTCAACATGAATGTGTTGCCCTCTAATCTCAAAGAAGCCGCCTTGGCAGTAAACCAATGAACTCATTGTCATGGTCGTAGAGCCACTTGCATATGCATGAAGAGTTGACATATCAAGCAATTATTTGTTTTATAGCATATTGTATTCTACTACCGCTATTGTGGCCTAATTTTAAATGAGCTATATCAAGTAATATTAAGTTGACCGTCCTATTTGAAATTTTATCTTCAATAAATATTTCAGATACTCAATTCACACGGATTGATTCCTTCGAACAAGGGTCGATTTGTGAACCGCACGCTTTGAGTTCGAAACAATATGACTTCATTAAACTCGAGTCTAATGGATTACAAGTGATTACATTCATTGGAGATTTATTTTATACCCATAAGTCTAAAGTAGACGTGTTTGAAATGATTTTTCGTTACAAAAAAAAAAAATAAACTTGTCATTTTCCACTTACAAGAAGTTACGGTGTTGCAGTGCAGAGAAATAGACCTGAGAATCGTCCAAGAAAGCTCTTCAAGTATGAACATAATCCATAAAGTCTGTACACTGCCCCCACCAACCATTCTCACTTTAAGCATTACATAGTATGTGAAATTAGTGAATGTTTGGTCAAATGCAATGCGGATGGGTACTTTAGAATCACAAAATCATGATTTGAATTGCTTCATTTTCTTGATTAAAAAAATAAAAAATTTGATTCATTTTCAAGAGAAATACAATTGACAGGAGTATCTGTCTGTAACTCTACTTCAGTTCTATTAGCATCAACAAATAAAGTTGTCTCTTACTATTCAAATGGTCTTCTTTGGTCCAAGCTAGCCTCAACAGCCATCGCCCGGCCGCTCTATATTTTCATACCGGCGGATGCCTAGGAAAAAAAGCTACTTTTTCGGGAAGAGTTCTTCTGGCCTATTTTAACATCCATTAGATCGGCAACAAGTCCAGGTTGTGAAACCTTGACGTTTTGGATGTCAATCACATTTGTCAACATCTTGATGGCTGTGGACATGGGAGGGCAGAGCTTGGTGTTCTCTTGCACACAGAGCAGGCCAATTTTTAAGAATCGGACCGCTTCTTCTATTGGAAAATCTCCTTTTAGTACAGGGTCCACTAGCTGCAAGAGGTTGTCGGCGTTGTACATCTCCCATGCCTGCACATAATTAAATGTGCACAAACGAAGTCATTGTCTACTATATGGAACCAAGCAAAGCTAACAATATGATCAATTGAAAGTCACATTATCCCACATTGGTATGCATTTTTTACAGTCAATCTAGTATCTGTAAGAAATTTTAATGATTCGTATATAAAATTTCGAACACCTAAATTATAAAATTTGGATCATATAAGTTTAGAACATACATGTATGAGTCATGTTATTCGATCTCTGAATTTCTTTCATGAAAGGGTAATGTATTCTTTTCCTTCTTCAAAACAATAGGTGACTCTCAGTGGGACAAGCCTATTTAGGTTTATGAAGTATAAAGGGGACCTAACCTGCTATTTATAATTAAATCTAATGAGCTCTTCTATTACGGACCACAATTAGATTAAGGCATATACTTAACCGTGTCAACCATATCAATTAAAGGATGTACACAAACCCATCAAAATAGACCACTTAATAATATTGAGTTCTTCTCATTGGACCATAAATTCAACCCGTTTTGCACAAATTAGAAATTAACTGTCAATTAATGGAAGTAGAATGTAGAAAAAAATTCTAATATTCTCTCACTTAGACAACATTAATTGTAATCAGTTAAAAATAAAATAAAATAATATATATTTGACAAATGAATCTCAGGCTAATCAAATAAAACTCAATGTGGCCGCAATAAAAAATAATATGTTCCTAAGACAACATCTCAAACACAACCCGGTCTAATAAAACTATTATTTTCGAACCATGACAATCTTTACATCCTTTATTGATATATGACACATCTATGATTATAAAAAATAATAATCATATTGACATGAATCAAGATTTGGTAGTGTAACCATAAAATAACATCTCAATATGTGATCTAATAAATATGTTATTTTCATTGTCAGTCCTCCTAATGATTTCTCTTTAACAACATGCTTCAACAATAAATTAGAGAAATCCATTAACTTTAACAATAAGCTAGTATGTCTCTAAACTTCAAATCACAAGATTTTCTCAAATTGTGTAATCAGATATATACTCAATTGATAAAACATTTATATTTAAGATATACACTAAATCTTAAGATTTTGTATAAAATGATATGTCATAAATGTGCACACCTATAACATAGCAAAGAATATCATGCTAATAATAAGAATAATCATCCAAATATTTATTATTCATCAAATAGATGTATCTCAACCATAATAAGTATCAAATATCACATATGAAATTAAATCAATACTAAAGTTCTTAACACATAAAAAACTCTCACTAACCAAGTACATCAAAAGACCCAAAATGCTCATGTTACCAACATATTTTTTAAAAGTTACAGATCTCACTCCCTTGGTTAAAGGATCAGGAAGCATTGATTCTGTATCAATATGTTCAATCACAATATCACATTTTTTCACAAGATCCCTAACAGAAAGATATTTAATTTTCATATGTTTAGATCTACTAGAATGTTTGTTGTTCTTTAAAAAGAACATAACTGCACTATTATCACAATAAATTGTTAGTGGTCTAGAGATAGAACCAACAATCATAAATTCTGAAATAAAATTTCTTAACCATATAACTTGTGTTGCAGCTCCATAACAAGCTACAAATTCAGCTTATATAGTGGAAGAAGTTGTGAGAGTTTGTTTAACTCTCTTCAATGCTATTACTCCTTTAGCTAACATGAAAATATATCCTAAGTGAATTTTAAATCATCCTGACACCCAGCAAAATTTGAATCTGAGTAACCGATCACTTCAAGACTATCAGCTCTCTTATAAACCAGAATGTAATTTTTGGTTTTTTGCAAGTATCTCATAACTTTCTTAACTGTCACCCAATAATCAAATCTTAGTTTGGAAAGATATTTGTCAAGAGCACTAACTGCAAAAGCAATATCAGGGCTGGTACAAACATGTGCATACATTAAACTGTCAACAACACTTGTATAAGGTATATTCTTCATATACTTCTCTTCAAGATCATTCTTGGGACATTGACTTAAACTGAATTTATTACCTTTCACAACAAGTACATCCCCAAATTTACAATTTACATATTAAATCTTTTAAGTACACAATCTATATATGCCCTTTGAGAAAGTTCCAATAATCTACGACTCCAATCTCGATGAATTTGAATGTCTAACACAAAAGATACTTCCTCAAGATCTTTCATGTTAAATATTTTGCACAACAATTGTTTGATCTCATGAAGTAAACTCAAATCACTATTTGCAAACAAAATATCATTAACATAGAGAATAAGAAAAATAAATTTTCTCCCACTAGCCTTAAGATATATACATTAATCCATCTTGTTCTCAACAAAACTAAGAGAACTTACTATCTCATCTTTCATGACACTTATCCACATATTAGACTGAAAAGTAATATCATCATAGTATGTTACATGATTAACAATATCACCAATATCATAATCATTTTCTCTAAGGTATACATAATATTCATAAAAAATAACAGGTCTCCTTAGTCTTGTATACATTCATAAGAAAATTTCAATAGTAGGCTCTAAACGCTGAGGAGCCTCAATAGGAATCGAAGGTTCAATTATAGGAACAAGAGAATCAACAACTGGAGCAGAAAAATTAACAACAGGAGCATGTATAATATTCTCTTGTACAACAGGTAAAAAAATTGAAATAAATTTATCTTACCCATTCTCATTAATAGGTTGTGAGCAATCAATATCAGTAACATCAAGCTCCAAATATTTTGCTGCTAAGGATTCAACAATTTTAGTACCACATGCAGGACAATGGAACCGATATCCTTTAGAATGTTCTGGGTAACCTGTGAAGAAACAACGAATAGTTCTAGAATCAGTCTTTTTCTCAAAAAAGTTATAGATTGACTTTAGTAGGACAGACTTGAAAATAATTAAGGCTTGGTTTCCTATTGGTTCATAATTCAAAAGGTGTTTTTAGAACAGATTTTCTATGAACTCTATTAAGAATGTA